TGACCTCGACTGTTCGACCCGAACACAACATCCTCCCTCTATTTTCTTACATAAATGTGATGGTTACTGTTTGAGAAGGAACACATCAAAACAGATGTTCGCCTACTATGTGCATTTTAACTCCATCAATGTTTAATTGTCGGTTACGCGATTGTTATCTCTCTCGCTCCCTCCTCTATCCCTGGATTTCTAGCATCCAACCATCTTTGTTTGGACCAGATCATAAATGTTCTCTCCAAGTGCCTGGAATCGCCCATCGTACGGATGATCATATTGCTTGCTCCACTCGACTGGTTCGTGATGTGGTCGAGGACGAGACGATCTTGCCCGAGGGATCCACATTACATGAAGCACACACTTTTCCGCAACCGTGTGATACGGAACCGCAACCGAGTCAATCGCTTTTAACACGCAGTTCTTCCCACACTGAAACAGTCTACTATTCGATCAGTACGAATGGGGCGTCCAGTGAGCCCTCTTCGTATCCTCTGTCCACAAAAGTTCCAAGCAACATCACACTCACGGATGCCAACAAATCCCTGTCTGTTCAATCGAACACTGTGTCTAAATCCACGCGGTTCGATGAGCCAAGTGCACGCGAGGTGAAAGAGAGCAGCAAATCGATACCGGAACATCAAACTTCAAACCGATCAGTTCCCGAATCCAATTCGGAATCCAGAGTGAATCAGGTGTCACGACCAAGGAGAATGCGTCGACCGGTCTCGGTTAACTATTCGGAACCAAGAAGTTGTAGCGAATCGGCCGAATTGTTGCATGGTGTTATACCCCAGGTGGCCAAAATTGTTGAAAGTGGATTACTGGATCGCCCAAAGTCAGTGGATTTGAAAGACAGAGGAGCGGGGATCTCGTGGCAACAACATTCACGGAATCGAACTCCGACACCGGCATTTTCCCCTTCCCCAGTTCGAATGGCAATCAGGTATACGTACTGTTAGATTCTCTTTTGTCCTACACTCTCTTTGCCGTTGAAATAATTTACTGGAGGACTTGAATAAATTCTAGTTCACTGAATTGGGTCGAAGATTTTGATAGAATTCGGGAATCAAATTTTATCCCATTATTTTTCCCAATCATGTCAATTTACGTTAAGGAAAATGGTAAATGCATCCACGGGATGAATTCTCAGTAGACTACAAAAGTGTAGAATATGTATATATATATATCCGTCGGAAAATTTGAAAATAAAATGAATTTGATGTTTTGGTGCAGGAAAAGGCAGAATGAAGTTATCGTACAATCAACTGAGAGATGAGAAAGATTCGAAATTATTGCGTTTCCGTATATGAATGAACGTGAAGAGACCACCTGGAGCGCTTTCAGGAATTAGAAACAGTGGAATCAGTTCAGTTCAGTTCAGTTTTTACAACCATTAATCATAGACTTTCGTGAACCGGTTTTGGTTACAGTCTCAAAACTGTCGAGACAGATTAGTCTGGTGTTTGTTCTGAACCACCCCAGAATATCGTACTCTTTGCCATTACGCAATCAAATATGTCAGCTGATCAGAAAAGAGTAATGACGGCTGAGACTGAAACATGGAAACTGTTGTTCGTCTGAGATGTCAACTTGCACTAATACTGCATTTTCGTTCCCAGGTGTTAGCCACTGTCTTCTGGTAAATCTTATAGTCCCTCGGGTTAAGCAGAACTAAATGCTATCAGGCGCGTCCCCGGGTTGTGGATAAAGGGATACCTTCACCGAAGAAGGTTATCTGTGAATAAGTTGTGGCATACCGCAACAAATAAGCAGTCGCGAACAAACAGCGGCAGCACTACCAGGGTATGGTGGGTTTCAGGCTGGTAACCTGGATCCTGGTTAACAGTCACATAAGCCCAGTGACGGTGTCGTGACAAAGGTCGATGTGACTGGCCTTTTAAAACTAAAGTCATTGACCCCCTCACTTCCAAGGCGAGGGATTACTTCCTGCTGCCTTGCAGTTTTCACTTGGTTGTGCAAAGGTTAGAGGTGTACCCTCCAAATAAAAAGCATCGAGTGACGCTGAGGACCTCTATCGTACCAAACTCCCAAGGAACTTTATGATCATGATCATGGAGCCAGCTTATCCTTTCCAAGGAGCCAGCCGTAGTAAAGGTAAAAGAAATTTCCTAGTCAAGCTCAACTAAAATTGAAAACAAAAGCTGAGCAAAGTTTCACCGAAAACAAAACTCCTTCACAGGCTGAAAGAAGATACTTATGAGTGTATATCCGACAGCTTTACTGCCTTCGATACTCTTTTGTATTCACCAGTTTATTGGGCCGATGCTGACGCAACGTATAGCTCTTTCAACCCTGCATGTCAATACTACCATGTTCCCGTTCATTGACTTCACCGCTAATCTATTCCGACGACTTCATCTTCACGCGCAATACTCAATTCATCCAATCAACCATACATTTGAGAATCGATTTACGAATAATCATGATGCTTACGCAATATTAAGAATACCGAAGAACGAGGGGGGGGGGGTTGGTGGTNTGGTGGTTGGAAACAAAATAGTGAGATGAGGGACAAACAGCTATAGTGGGTAAACAGAATAACATTTTGGTGTTTGTTTCACCGTACACCTTTTTGATATCTTTTGTGTTACTTTATTGTTTTTCATTAAGAGGCACGGAATTTCAACAAGCATTCGCGTCACAGACTTCTGTTCAGGGCCATATCTCTTAGCGTCTCTGACAAACGACAATCTTCATCCCTTTGGTCCCAACCAAAGCCAAAGCTAAACCTAGTTTCTTCATAGCTCTGTGTCATGTCATAGTCTGATCCTCGCGGCGCTTCTTGTAGTCTTGTCCAGCACTAGCAAAGACAGCACGGAAAGTAAGCTGATTGGCCGTAATATACAAAACGTGATCAAGCCATTGAGGGAGGTGTTGAGCGATTACTTCTTTTAGAAAACGACTATCAGCACCCAACACACGACAACAAACCTCGTCATCGCGCACCCGATGTTCTGAGCAGACACGATCGGTGCTTTGGAGACATCGGTATTCGAATACAGAAAGTCAACTACACTCAGATTTTTGTTCTTGATGGATCTCATCAGCATTGTGCAATTACCGTCCCATTTGGCATTTAGAGTATTGATTCCTCGCACAAGAATCGCGTGTGTTCCCCCATCTGTCAACCAGCTCACATCGGAGTAAACCAGAAACGCCGAGTTAAGGTTCCTCGAATGTGGCTTTCCATGTCATTGATTTGATTAGTTTAAGAGCACAATGTAGCCGAACATATGTATTCGGTGAATTTCTTTTCAAGCCTGTACAATCACATTTATATGAAACAATTTTGTGACCTCGTAGCTCAGCTGGTAGAGCATGCTCGTACGAAGCGTAGGCGGCGTCCATGCGTGGGTTCGAATCCCACCGAGGCTACTG